AAAACCTCTTTTATTTACTGATAATGAGAAAAACGACCGTCACATGTTGGTATTTTTATTTTGAGCGTTATACATTTGTCGAATTTAACGAGAGTTTAGAACAATTTTTATCTTACTGAATTTCATTTCTCAACAATCGTCCATCGATGAACAACATATGGAATACGGTTTAAGACGACGTCGAAGTAAAAGATAATCGGTATTTATTATATTTGATTGTTTTTGCTAAGATTAATAGAGCTCAAGTATTTTTAATTTTATTTATACTTCGTAGATTATAAAAAAAGATATTTTAATTATTGGTAGTTTTTGCCATCTAAAAACTTGTATATTATTTTTTGTTTATAAATCATTCAATATTTGTTATAATATTACACAATTAAGCATTGGCANATATTTGTTATAATATTACACAATTACGCATTGACCATGTCGTCACGAAAACGACTTTCCGGGTTTGAATATAAAAAAATACGAGAAAATAAACAGAATTTTATTAACACACAAGCAGGGAGTTTTACTAAATTTTTATTGCAAAAACCTGTAGATGAAATTAAACTACTGAATGATGATTGTTCACAAACTAAAACTAATTCTGATATACCTACAACCCAACAGAGTTCGGACATACAATTAAATAACAATATAAACTATTCACAATCCACTTCTTATGAAATACCAGATAAAGCTTTGCCGCGGGTAGAAGTTGATTTATTTTCTGATTCTGATAAAGATTCTATTAATTCAGATAAATTTAATTATGAAGAAATTAACATTACTTCGGAAAATGACGAATTGGAAACAAATAGTGTTGAACATTCAGATGACCCAAGTGACTGGCCACTAAAATTAACCGACTCAATTCGAATATCACTTATAAAAAAAGGGCCTGTGCAAATTAAAAATTATTCTTTTCCGAAAAACCAATTAAATAGGAAATTTTCTGATGCTTATTATCAACGAATTTTGAATAATGGAGAAAAAATAGAAAGATCCTGGTTGGTTTATTCAAAAAAAAATGATGCTGTGTACTGTTTCTGTTGTATGTTGTTTAGTTTTAAAAAAGATTCAGGTATGGTCTCTGAATGTGGATATAACGATTGGCGTAATTTAACAGGCCATTTAAAAATTCACGAAACCTCAAAAACACACATTCTTCATTTTTCAACTTGGCACGAAATGGTTATAAAATTAAAATTAAATCAAACTATTGATTCTCATAATCAACGTAAAATAGAATCTGAAATAAAACATTGGAGGTCTGTTTTAGTTCGGTTATGCGCTATATTACGTTGCATGGCTGCGCAAAATCTTTCAATCCGTGGAACATCATCTACAATAAATTCACCACATAATGGCAATTTTTTGAAAATTATTGAATTATTTTCGTTGTTTGATAATGTTTTAAAAGGTCACGTAGAAAGGATTCAAAATAAACAATTACGTGTACATTATTTAGGTCCTCAAATTCAAAATGAATTAATTAATTTAATGAGTGAAAAAGTAAAAAATAATATTTTAAGCAAAGTGAGAGCTGCGAAGTATTATTCCATTATTTTAGACTGCACACCTGACTGTAGTCATAAGGAACAAATGTCCATAATATTGAGATATGTTTGTATTAAGACATGAGTTTTACATGAGCATTTTATTGGATTTATTGAAGTTTTTGATAAAACCCGGACTGGATTAAGTGACCGGATAATTAAAATGCTTTCTGATTTGGAAATAAACATAAATGATATGCGTGGCCAAAGTTATGATAATGGCTCCAATATGAAAGGAAAACATAACGGAGTTCAAAAACGCATACTTGACATAAACCCGCGGGCATTTTATGTACCATGTAATTCTCATTCGTTGAACTTAGTAGTTAATGATGCAGCAAAATGTAATATTTACACAGTCTCATTTTTTAATATAGTGCAACAACTTTATGTATTTTTTTCGGCATCTACTGAGAGATGGAAAATTTTGATTCAATTTTTACCTAAATTAACATTGAAGAAAGTTTGCGACACGCGTTGAGAGTCGAGAATAAATGCGATAAGGCCCATAAGATATCAATTTGAAGAGCTTTTTAATGCCCTAAAACATATTAAGAATGATGTAAACTTAGCTGGAATGAATGTTCTTCATACAAAAGCAGATGCATACGCTCTTTTAAAAAATATATGTGATTTTAAATTTATATGTTCTATTATTATTTGGTATGATATTAAGTATTGTTAATCATGTCAGCAAGCAACTGCAGTCAATCAATTTTTATATACAAATTTCTGTTAATAGTATATCAAAAATCATTGAATTTTTAAAAGAATATCGAAAAAATGAGTTTTTNTCATTGAATTTTTAAAAGAATATCGAAAAAATGGGTTTTCTAAAGTAAAATTAATTGCTAAAGAAATTGCGTCAGCCATTGGAATATTAGAAGAATTTCCTCAAGATTATCAAGTGCGCAAAAGATTGAAGAAAACCAATTTCAATTATGAAAACCAAGATAATGTTCCTCTTCATAACCCGGAAAAAAAATTTGAAATAGAGTTTTTTAATACTATAATTGATACGGCTATCAATTCTCTGCAAGATAGATTTCTCCAGTTAGATAATCATTGTTCTAACTTTGGTTTCATGTATAATATAAATTCTTTAAAATCTTGGGAGCATGAAACCATACTAAAACATTGTAAAGATTTAGGGATTTTGCTATCATCAAATGATACAGCAGATATTGATGTCATCGAATTATTTGAAGAACTAAAATTATTTTGTCGACTTACAGAATCAAGTAGTTCAGCAAGTAAAAATCTTGAGTACATTTATAATAATCAGCTCCAGGAAATATATCCTAATATTGCAATCAGTTTAAGAATCATTCTTACAATTCCAGTGACAGTAGCGTCTGCTGAGAGAAGTTTTTCGAAACTGAAACTTATAAAATATCATTTAAGATCAACAATGAGTAATGAGCGTTTGATTGGATTATCAATTTTATCCATTGAAGCAGAGTTGGCACAAGAATTAAATTTAGAAAATTTAGTGCAAGATTTCGCAACAAAAAAAAGCAAGAAAAACTAATTTTTAATTTTGAAATATTATTTTAAAACTTCAAATTTTATCATCATTTTATGTTTATTTCCAGGTTTGATTTTTTATTTATATAAAACACATTATGTATGAAGAACACTTGTATATTATTTTTTTTTCTTAAAGGTATATAAAATATATATTTATGGTTTTGACTTTTGTCAAATTAAAATATTTTTAATCAACACATTTATAAACATTTTGTCATTTCAATATAACTCATGCACCTACTTGTTTAAATAAGTATTTTATGGGCTGTCCATAAATATCGTACGCCAAAAATAACTGAAATTTATCCCCCAATCACTTTGATGGTAACAGTAAAGTGGCGTAGCCAGTATTTTTCAATGGGGTGGGGGTAAAAAAAACACATTACTTTTATTAGTAAATTGTTTATCAAATTTAAATAATAATATTTTATAATTAATATAATTTTATATTAATTCTAAACAAATTATAGCCAATGGGAAGGCATGGCCCCAAAGCCCTCCTCTGGCTAGGCCGCTGTAAAGTATTACCCTCCCAACACTGTTACCCAATTGTATTACCCAACCACCCCTTTCAAGGGCGGCATTAGATATTTTCGCTTTAGGGCGGAAAATATCTTGCGACGGGCCTGACTGCACTTAGAGCAATAACCCCCATTATAAAAACGATAGAGAACAGTATTTTAGAGATGATCTTATGTGCATTTTTGGATATATTATATTAGTAAAAAGTTATAACAGGATGAAGTTTATTAAAAAAGTACATTTTAAAATTCAATTATCAAGCTTAATATTAGATTAATCCAAAAATGGCTATGAAATTGTCTTCAAAATATTGTCCTCTTTCAATTTTGTAATAGGCGTTAAAGCTCTAAATAATATACAGAGTAAGTAAAATACATTCTTTTAAGATATGTTTTAGACCACTTTTGTAAATTTTTTTGACGAATAGTGCTGCCCCTATCGATAATATTTTTAAAATAGTTTCAAATAATGGTGCGGCGTGCGGTGTGGCTCGATGTCGTCGAAAACGTTATCAATATTTCTTTAAATAATTTCGCTAATACGTGCGGACTAATTTTATTTTGCACTCAATGTTTGAATTTTTATTACTTTTCAGAATTTTTATTAAATATCGTTGCTGATAACAATTAATATCTGCATTTCTCCTATTACTAGTGAATAAATATATATTATGCCGAGTCCTTTGATTTGATAAAAAAAAAAATCATAAATGTATCCCCAACAATGTTTTATGTGCTTAGAGTGAGTTAAGCAAAACTAATTTTGTTGTATCTAATGTAGCACTTCTTGTCGCGAGTTGTACGAAATATTTTCAAGTACTTTGGCTAAAATTATTATTAAAGTGTGGTGTTGTCCTTTGTTGTAATATACTTGTCACTATTATAATATAAAAAAGTAGTGAGTTACTAGTATCCACAATATTAGTTTTTCATTTAACATTATTAACACTTATTTATAAATTATATTCATACGCTTCATACGCTATTATATTACACACGATTCAGTCATGAGTCAATTATTAGTCCTTTAAAAATCACTCTTCAACAAATTTATAAATTATACTTATCAGCTCTTTTCGCTCATATCTTAATAAATAAACACTATGTGTCAATCCTAGTCTTAAATGTAAAAACAAACTATATTAACGTTATATAAAAATGATTTGTATATTATCCACATGTATTAATTTATATATTTTATTTCTTTTATGTATTAATTTATAAATTTTTTGCTTACTTATCAATAAACGATAACATAACAAGAATGACATAATGATGATTATTCGGGGATACAAAATACTATAAAAGGCAGAGTAATCCTTCTCAGTCAGTGTTGAAGACTTGGGGAAGTCTGTCTCCAGATATTCAAAGAACTGTTATAATCGCGTTCTCGACATCGATACGAAAAGTTTGTAATCATCATTGTCGAAATTCTTACGTGTAATGAGTTCGTATTATTTTGTTATAACTTGATTCTATTAAATGTTATTATAACAACAAAGAAAAATCATCAGGTAAGATTTCAAATCAATAAGAGTCAATACTTATATTATATTATAACTCAATTATTTAGAATTAATAATCTAAGTATAGAACGGTAAAGCAATAGATCAAATAATTATATTAATCTTTAAACTTCAATTATTTATTACTAACTAGTTCGTACCTTATACATAATCACATTACATGATATTCGTGAGATGGCCATCACCTCTTCGTTGCCTCAGTGTATTATTACATGTACTTACCAGTTGGGTCATTTATAATAACTCTATAAAAGGAACGTTAATTATTACTTTTTATGACTACTAGTCTTTATTGTTCTGAACCCTCGGACTCTACAACCCCGACACAACCTCTTGGCTCATTAATTGACCAAATCCCCAAAATTACATAAACTTGCTCAATATATACAATACATATATACCCCTATTTATATCTTAATTTTTGTATTATTACATAAATAATAAAGTTGTTAAAATCAAGAAAGAAAGATCAACTATAAAATATACAGTTCTGAAAATTTCTCTAAAAAAATTACTTTTTGATGGACAACAAAAATGTCTACTTGCTAATTTAACTTCTTAAAACATTAATTTAAATTAGGTTTAAAGAAGTCAAATTTTTTGGAATA